ATGACAAAATAGCCAGCTTGCAATTTGGTGACCGGTTGGAGAAATTTGAAGAATTTAACTCCATTCCGTGTGAAGAAACAAACCACCTAATGAGGAGATTTGGAAACCTTGAAATGGAAACGTGAAACCATCTATGGTAGTGTTTGGGAGACAATTAAAAAGCCAAAACCCAAAGGCAAGGAAGAGAGAGCATTATTGAAATCCACTAACCTCAAAGGTTTCCCCGCGAATCAATAAGTGCGGGAGCCATTTTTACTATTGAGCTATGAAGACCCCGATATTGTTGATATTATTGGGGCAGAAAAATGCATGTTAAATGCAGATTTTACTTCGGATTGGCAAAATCAATAATCATTATTTGGGTCAAGATTCTCAGGACCCATCTACCATAATAAGAAATTGAGGTTATGCTTCCACTCTAAATATTTGTCTTTTTGGTACGAAAGAGTTTAATTTCAAACTAATAACTAAAAGATGAGTTTTTTATTTTTATTTTTTATTTTTTTCCTCAAATGAGAGAGTTTAACGTTAGGGCAAATATCATAATTTTTTATTATATTTTTAAAAAATTCTCTATAATATTTTTTGTATGAAAGAGTTTTAATTATAAAAAAATTAAAAGAACTAGGGTTTTTACTTATTTATTGTAGCATTTTTTTTAAAGGGCCAGGAGAAATGAGCTCAAGTAGGCATGGCCTGGCTCACAGCCCTACACTGTTAATTTACTATAGCATTTCTTTTTTATTATTATTATTTTTTTTTTTAGGGCTAGCTAATAGCCCAACCTTGGAGAAGCGGGCTCAAGTGAGCTTGGCCTGACTCACAAGCTTGTACAAGCAATCCCAACTAGCGTTTGCCTTTTTTTTTCTTTCAATAATTTATTTTTATATTTTTTTATCATGAAATTAGGTGTGAAAATATAAAAAAAAATCATTTTTTTTTTAGTTTTACATACAGTTTGATGATGATAAAATATCTATGATATTTTTTAAAATTTTAGTTTGAATATATATATCTTATTGTATTATTTTTATTGTTTGAATTTATTTCTTCAATTATTTGTTTTTTATTAAAATAAAAGAACTAAAGTTTTTATTTTTCATTTATTGTAGCTTTTTTTTTTTAAGTTTGGCTAGCAGCCTAGCCTTAGAAAATCGAGCTCAAGCAAGCTTGGCCTCGGCTCACGGTCCCGCACTATTCATTTACTCGTAGCATGTTTTTTTCTTTTTTTAGGGCTAGCATGGAGAAGCGGGCTCAAGCAGTGCTTGGCCTACCTCATAGGCCTCGTACAAACACTCGCAACTAGCGTTTGTCTTTTTTTTTCTTCTAATAATTTATTTTTTTATTTTTTTATCATGAAATTAGGTGTGAAAATAAAAAAAAATATTGTTTTTTTTTTAGTTTTACGTAAGATTTTATTTTGAACATAAATATATGATTATATTATTTTTATTATTTAGAATTTATTTCTTCAATTGTTTGTTTTTTATTAAAATAAAAGAATTCAGATTTTTATTGTTCATTTTCTATAGCATCTCCTTTTTTTTTTAGGGCTAGCCAACGACTCAGCCTTTGAGAAACGAGCTTAAGTAGGCCTTCCTTAGCTCAAAATCTTGCACAAGCGAGTCCCAACCAGATGTCTGTCTTTTTTTTTTTTTTTTTAAAGGATTGGCTAGCGGCCCGGCTTTGGAGAAGCGAGGCTTAAGTAGGCCTAGCTTGGCTCACGAGCTCGCACAAGCGGTCCCAACTAGAGTTTGCCTTCTCTCTTTTTTTTTTTTTTTTCCTTCTAGTAATTTATTTTTTATATTTTTTATCATGAAATTAGGAGTGAAAATATATTTAAAAAAAATTATTTTTTTTAGTTTTACGTACGGTTTGACGATAATAGAATATATATGATATTTTTTTTTAAGATTTTAGTCCGAGTATATATATCCGATTATATTATTTTTATTGTTTAAAATTTATTTCTTCAATTATTTGTTTCTTATTAAAATTCTCATCAAATTAATTTTTTAATTTTATATAATTTTATTTTTTAATAAATTTGATTATTTATGGATTTTGAAATAAAATTTTAGAATATGATTATTTTATTTTTTAAAATATATTATTATATTTTAAACAATTGAATTATTTTTATGATTTTTAAATGAGAGTAGTGTAGTTACATATATAAATTCGGATGAGAGAGAGAGAGAGAGCTAAAAGTGTGTTTTAGATAATTTGACTTTATTTTCTTAACAAAAATAATCGGTTAAAAAATAATTTGATTCAGTTTTTTTTTAAATAATAATTAGTTAAAAAAATTCACAAGTTTTATTTGGTTATATATATATAATCAAAATTTAACGAAACCAATTTTATAGTAGTTTTTATTTAAATTTATTCACTTCGATATATTCCTTGTGATTTAAATGAGTTTTTTTTATATATTTTATATACTTTAAATCGTTAAGTACGATATATATATATATATATATATATATATATATATATATATATATATTTGTCATATATAAATTTCGATAGGGGAAAGAGAGAGAGATAAAAGTATGTTTTATATAATCTAACTAAGTTTTTTTTTTTTAAATAATAATCAATTAAAAAATAAATTTACTCAGCTTTTTAAATTAATAATTAGTTAAAAAAATTCATCGAGTTTATTTGGTTATATATAATCAGAATTTATCAAAACTAATTTTATAGTAATTTTTATTTAAATCTATTTATTTTGATATATTCCATGCGATTTAAGTGGGTTTATTTATTTATTTTATATACTCTAAATTTGCTATATATATAGTTTTGTCATATATAAATTTTGGTGTGTGCGTGTGTGTGTGTGTGTGTGTGTGAGAGAGAGAGAGAGAGAGCTAAAAGCGTGTTTTAAATAATTTAACTTAATTTAAAAAAAATAATCGATTAAAAAAATAATTTGACTCAATTTTTTTTAAAAAAATTAATAATTAGTTAAAAAATTCACAGGTTTTATTTTGTTATATATATAATCAGAATTTATCGAAACCAATTTTATAGTAGTTTTTATTTAAATCTATTCACTTAGATATATTTCATGCGATTTAAGTGGGTTTTTTTTATATTTTTTATTTATTTATTTTATATACTCGAATCTCCTAAGAATATATATATATATATATATATATATATATATATATATATATATATGTTATAAATTAATTATATTTGCACCCATAACATCAATTTTTTATTTTTTTATTTTTTTCATGTTCTAAAATATGTATTTTTAAATAAAATAATTTAATTAATATTTGAAAGAACCTCTTAATTATTCAAATATAAAATTTTATACTAATATTACAAATTATTTTTTTTAATAAATATATATAAATCAAACAATTTTGCTCAATATATACATTCGATTTACATTAATATTTAGAAACAAAATATATACTCGCATCACACGAAACGAATCGTTAACCCCGTTTATATAATGATTGTCCGACCACAACGTAACCCAGGTGTCTAACTAGTTTGAAACTAATAAAACTTGAGGTTTTTAAGTTTTTTCTTTTCTTTTTTTAAGAATTTTTTAGTACTAACAAACTTTATATCCGTATTCCATACGTTGTGTCAAAATTACCCTATTATTCCGCCCTTTTAGGAATGAAAATTATTCATCGATAATTAGAAGAAAAAAGTAACATTGTCTCTCTATTTATCTAAAAGTATAATTCAATATAATATTTATTCATACATCTCATTTTTTATGTAAATCGAGAATATTACATCAGCAGTACTTACGATAAAACTGTAGAAGGCTACTGTCGAGCAAGAGGATGGGTTTTTCCGTTGCCCCTTTTTGTTAATTCGGCAAAGGCCCATTTGCCAAAGTGGGAACCCTTCCAAGCCCAACTAACAAAAAAAACTGAAATTTGAGTCCGCCTGCAATGCCTCTTTTTGTATTGAGACGTTTGTCACCAAGAAACAATAACTCATAGCAATTTTTCTTCTCAATCGTTTTCAAATGCTACCGACTTGATAAGAGCGAGATAGACTTCTGTAACCTAACCTTGTTCCTCTGAAAACAACATTTCAACAAAAATAAAATGGGAATATTAAGTGATTTTGATATCTTTCACTCCAAAAGGCTCTGCTGTGACCAGAATGAAAAATTGGTGTTCATTTTGCCGACTTCATGTCATTGCACAAGATTGATGGTCGTTCTCAATCAGTCAATTGGTTAGAAAGGAATAGAAAACTCCATAATATTGAAGTTAATGACACCTACTTGCTTCATCTGGATTAGAATTAGAACGATAGACTAAAAACTTCATAAAGTTTTGCTGAATATACAAGACTTGAATTAAAATTAATGGCATCAACATACTGGATCTAGTTACAAGTAAGCTTGAGATGGTAGATTGTTCGTTTGATTTGAACAATAGCTAAGTGCATATAATTTATTTTTATTTCTATGTCATCTAATGTCATATTTGACTCTTTCAAAGTGAACAAGGAAAAGAAATGATCTCTGAGTTGTTAAAAAACAACGAAGAAAGCTTTCAACAAATTAAGTAGAATATAAGACGGCCATATTATTCATTAAGAAAATTCTGCGGTATGGAAAGATTATTTAGTGCACAATCTAGCATATCTTTGCCTGCCTCAAACAAGAAATAATCATTTTGGACGGTTGCAAAAACACAGTCGGCCATTTTCAGGTGCTTGAGATTGTCTACAATCCAGAAAATTTCAATTGCTTCAAAAGGGCCATGCATTTCACAGTGTTACTCTATTCAATATCAATGTTATTGATCAACACGAAAAAACATGATAAGAGAAAAGGAACAAAATGAAGAAGAAAGCAGCAGGACAAGAAATGAGAACTATTATTAATTAGAATTATTAGTGACTTGAAAAATCAAAATTTACATGATTTCTGGCACTATATAGATGTATATAAAATGAAATCAGTGAGCACGGTATACCTTTCCCTTGTTTAATTCACTTCTCTCTTAACAATCTTGAGCATAGAAGTCAATAATCTCCTTGAGATTTAGCTTAAATAAAGAAGAACAATCATTGTACAACAACCACAACATATGCTCGAACAAAATGGCATCCACATCCACAAAAATCACTCTCTTCTCCTGCCTTGATCTACTCGTATCTTCAAAAATACTATCCTTTTTTACTGTTTCTATCAAAACCTGAAAAGGGCTCTCTTCTAATACATATGGATCAACCAAGAACTCTTTCCTTTCTTTTCCCACCACCACGGTCACTGGACTGCCCAAATCACTGAGCCCATCTTCAGTTAATGGCCGGTAGCCTAGTCGTGACCTCGTGCAGCACTTTCTCAACTTTGACACGGGCAAGACCAAGCAATCCATTACTGCTAATCAGAGACTTAAGTTTTTTGCAACTGGACTAACGTGATATTACAGAGGATATAATGCTATAGTGATATGTCTGCGTAGCATATATAAGAGTAGGTAGCGTGTGCATAACTTGTATTTACATAAATGGAAGTGAAAGCAAAGGATTAAAGATAGACGAGAACGGGGTTGAAAGGGTCAGGTTGATTTGGCCTGCTACCGGCTAGAGAGAGAGAGATTGTTTATTAGCAAGAGAACTGTATTTGTAAGCAAAGAAAAGGGTGGGTTTGTATTTTAACGTATTAATTTTGCGTGGTTGTGAATACTTATAATAGGATTTTGTTGGCAATAAAAATAGCCGTTAGAGTGAGGCAGGATCTCTAGGAAGTAGCAATGAAAATAGGACCTCGACAGCCGACTTGAGTCATGATAAGGACTGCCCATCATGCTACCGCGTTAGGCGCGTATTGAAATTTAGAAGACTAAAAGTTCATATCTAACTTATTGAAACTTGGCTTAAGATTATATGATGAAGAGATGGACTAATCCCATTAGAATAATTAGTTTCTTATGAAGATTATTCAAGTATTTAATTTTTTTTATTCATAGTACTGTTTCTGGGCTTATATATATATATATATATATAAGAAAAAAACAAGCTCGAGCACTGTCAACGATTCATGCATAAACAGGTTCACATCAAGAGCGCGTCTAAATTATTGGTGTAGCATTCGTAATTAGATCAGAGCTGAGTGAAGCAATTACCAATTCTTAATTAGCAAATGCATCTCTAGATTTGCCAAGTACAATCGAAAGAAAGAATATCCAGTACTTGTATACAACTGGAGAGACTATAAATAAATATGTTAGAAATAGGTCCTCCTTTCACCTGCCATGAGGACTGATGGCTTGTCTGAAAAATAGAGAAGGAAAGAGGACATACGGTAATGAATATGCAAATGGATCAAATATATGCATCGCTCCCATTTGATTTTTGATGTTATATGTTCTTGTGAGTCCTTTGTAACTCCGTTTTGAACTTTTCAAGATAAGTTTGTGAAGGTCAACATTGTCGGGAAGAGGAAGATACATGGAAGTTTAAGGGAAATTGCATACCATCCCTCCCCCATTAATTTTCTTAAGAGATTCAGTGTATAGACCCTATTGGTTTTAGGTGTTTAAATTTGCCCCTTCTCTCTAAACATTTGTCTCCTATATATATATATATATATATATATAATACTTGTCCATGCTCCATCGATTCATAGGATTTACTATTTTGTAGTTATTTTTCTCTAATATTTGAGAATAATATAATTTATATTCTATTTTATTTAATAATTTAAGTTTTTAATTTGAGATAATATTTCGATATGTTATCAAAGTCTTAACAAAATAATTATTAATTTGAATCTCATCATCATTATTATTCTTTAATTAAATTAAGTTTCAATACAAAATAGTGATGTACCAAATGACTTTTACTTGATAAAATTACTATATAACTAAAAGAGATGGAGGGTTTGAATAGTAAAAATCAATGTTCAAGCCCTTACAAATCACTATTCATGATTGTAGCTAAGTTTTTTTTTTTTTTTTCAAGTTGTTTCACTATACATGCTTTTTTTTTTTCTTTTTTCCCCTTTGGCTTTTTTCATCAATTTAGGTTCTTTTTTTTATTTAATTTTCAAGTTGCTTCATTTTGGTCTCTAAAATTTTAAAATAAAAATTCTAATCCCCTAACTAATGCACTCGCTCGTGCCTTTTTTTTCCTTTGTTTTTTTCCACTAATTTATATTCTTTTTTATTTAATTAGGTGTTAAAATTTTAAAAAATCAATTGTTACTTTTTTCATACAAATTGACAATTATATGATATATATACAATATTTTTTACATTTATACAATATGTTTTTAGATTTTATTGCAATATTTTTTTTAAGTTGTTTCACCATACATGTCTTTTTTTTCTTTTGCTTTTTTTCTCCCCATCAATTTAGGTTCTTTTTTTATTTAATTTTTTTAATTTTTAGGTTATTTCATTTTGGTCTCTACAATTTTAAAATAAAAATTTTAATCTCCTAACTAATGCACTACTCATACATTTTTTTCCTTTTTCTTTTTTTCTTTGCTTTTTTTTTCATCTATTTATGTTCTTTTTTTTATTTAATTAGGTGTTAAAATTTTGAAAAATCAATCATAACTTTTTTCACATAAACCGATGATTATATATATACACAATAATTTTTTCTTACATCTATATGATATGTTTTTAGATTTTAGAATAAATATAACTATTTTTATTATTTAAAATTGATTTTTTTTAATAAAAATTCTCATCAAGTTAATTTTTATTCTTATTTTTTTATGTAATTTTATTTATTAATAAATATAGCTTGTTTTCTCTATGTATGGATTCACATAAGTTTTTTTTTATACCTGTTTTTATTTGCTTAATTGTTATATAATCAAATTTTAATAATTGAATATATATTTTTTATTTCTTATTTTTTATATAATCAAATTTTATCAAAATCAGTTTTATAATTTTTACTACACTCTATTAACTTCAATATATATTTTACTATTTAATTTTCTTAAAATATTTTTTAATTTATTTTATACATTTTCACATATTGAGTACAATCATGATGTATAAAAAATAATAACATTAGAGTCATTAATTTTATTAGAAATCAACTATGCGTCTACATACACAATACTAACTATTTGCTATAATTTTTTTAATATTTAAAATGATTTTTTCAAATAAAATAATTAAAATAATATTTTATAATAACTCGCCTAATAATTCAAAAATAATTTTGTATACTAATATTACTCATTATTTTGTAAATAACCATATATAAATCAAATGTATATATTTAAAAAAATAATCTTCTCATCGATAAAAAAGTTTCGTTTGTTAATTTTCATACAAGTTTTTATATTAATTATTGCTTTATTTCTTCAATGCAATTTAATGAAAGAAATATTAATATTTTTTTAAAAAAAATTATATTAAAATTTGTTTATTATTGGTTTTTATTCAAGAATAAATGCATAAGAAAGAGCAAATCATATTTTTTTGACTTCAAAATTTATTCAAAACATATATATATATACAAAATTTTGATTGAAAATTATAAAATTAGATGAAATTTTTATCTTTTATATTTAATTTAATATATTTTAATTAATCGACAATATAATATATATTATCAAACTGAAATAAATATGTTTAGTTCAATCCACAAGCATAGCACAAGAATGCAAATTGTTCATATATCTAAAATTCTTATTCACATACTATTAATATGCATAAAATTACTATTCACTTGATGACAATTTATGTAATTTTTATATGTGGTTTTTTTGTATGTTTTTAGGCATTAATATGCAAATGTAACATTTTTTTTCTATTTTTTCGTCCCTCATGTTGTAACATTTTTTTTCAATCCATATTTTTCATTTTTTTTTATTTTCGAGTGAACTTTGTGTTATATATATATATATATATATATATCTTTTTATATTTTAAAATTAACATATATTTCAACTTATATATCTCTTATCATTTAAATTTTATTCTTTGAATTTATCATTTTTTAATGAAAATTCTCATCCAATTAATATTTTTTTATATAAGATTTTATATACTCGATAAATATAATTTATTTTTCTCTATGTTTGAATTTTAGAACAAAATGTTAAAACATTATTGTTTTTTCTTTTTTAAAAAATAAATTGGTATAATATATATTATGAATTCTTAGAATTTTTAAATGATAATTGCATATGTATAAATATATAATTATTTAATTCTAAAAGGTTAAAAGTATATTTCAAATAATTTATCTTAATTCACTAGGTATGGTCAAGACATATAAAAAAAACTTTTAAATCATTGATTTTATTAAAAATTAACTATACAACTTTCAACGTAATACAAATTATTTACTATAAATATTTTTTAACATTATGGGACCAATTTATTTGAAATAAAATAATTAAAATAATTTTGTAAAGGAACCAACTAATTATTCAAATACAGTTTTTTATGCTCATTTTGTTGATTATTTTATAAATAAATATATATAGATCCAATGCATATACTTGAAAAAAAAAAATCTTCTCACCAACATTAAATAAGAATAAAAATTTTATTTTTTCATTGGTTAATTTTTATGCAAGTCTATACATTAATTATAACTTTATTTTGTTTGGATATATTCTTATAAAAAAATATAATTTTAAAGTATTTGCTTTTGAATTCTTAATTAATATTTTAGGTTTAAATTATTACAAGTTTTTATTTAAGAATCTCTTAATAAATTCTTAATAAAGAAGAATAAATCATGTTTTTTAAGCTGAAATTTTATGAAAAACACAAAAAAAGTAATAATTAAATAAAAAAATTAATGAAAAAATTATAAAAATTTTAAATGATTTTATTCTATCTACCCGTAGCGTTGCGCGGATAATTTCAAAAATTAATCTTTTCATCAACATTAAATTAGAAATTTTTTTCATTTGTTAATTTTTGTAAAAGTTTGTCCATTAATTATAACTTTATTTTTTGAAATACAATATTATGAAAATTGCATTTTTAAAATTGTTTTTAAATTTTTGATTAATATTTTAGTTAAAATTATTACATTTTTTTTATGTTAAAATCAATTCATAAAGAAGAATGATTTATTTTTTAAGCAGAAAAGTTTTAAAAAACATTAAATAAATTAATTAAATAAAACATTTATAATAAAAAAAATTTAAAATTTTAAAATGATTTTTTTCTATCGGACTAGTAGTATAGCACGGACAACCGACTAATGTGTTACTAAATAATATAAATTATATCATGAGTTTCATTCAATAACTTAAATTTTTAGATTACGATAATTATATGAAAATATAACATCACTTAAATAAAATTTAGCTATAAATTTTATTTATTTATTTTGTCAGTCTACTCATTCTGTAAAAAGTTACGATAAATACAACGAATTTAATTTG